GCTGCTCTAACAGAAAGTACCACAAATGGGATGGCTTTAACAAACAGGAGTTTATTCTCTTACAATTTAGGAGGCTAGAAGTCCAAGGTCAAAGTGCCGGCTCCAGAGGCTGGGTGAAAGCCCCTCAACCTCGACTTTGGGCTTCAGCTCTACCTCTTGCTCCCAGCCTGGAGCTGGTGGCATCTCTTCACTCAGGTAGCTGCTGATGACTGAGTCTGGCAAACCAAAGGTCAACAAGTAAAATGGCACAGGCCCAAGATTATAAAGCAACACAGCAGGCTACTAATTCAAGTCCATTAACATTCTCAAGATCAGCAGACAAGACAGCCAGATGAATGACAACTTGGCTACATGAAGGATTCAAGCATGCCAAAAGGTAGAGACCCTCCTCAAAGCTGCTTCTTACATACTGGAAGCAGACCACATCCTAAAGGCAGTTACTCAGCTGCCCCAGCAGATTCCACCATGGAGCTGATTACTAGTCTCATCATGGGAAATAACTACACCCAGGTACCCAACCACTCAAAACCAGGCCCAGCCAAGCTGACACACATCTTAACTACCACAACAGACAAAACACAAAGGTTGTTAAATTTAATTATTGTACAACTGAATATTTTATGATGGGTAAAAATATACAAAACATATATAACAAATTATAATAATAAAGACAACCTTAAGTTAAATATTTTAATTATTCTATGACATTTCTTTTGTTCTTCAATTTCAGCTAAATCAAGAATTACACTATTATAATCTTGATTATAATAATAATGGTAGATTATGATATTAATGGTAATAGTAATGCCAAATTACACACTTTTCTTAGCTCAACTTTCTTAAGTAGTTTCAGATTATTTTCAATTTGGAGAAATTTTAGTCTGTTGAGGCAATAGCAAATGGAATTGTCAATAAAATTCTTAAAGCAATACCTGGGTTCAGCAATGAACAATAAATTTTACATATCATATTCTATCATTGTAATGAGGTCACCCTGAGGTTGAATTATTTTTATCGTAAGAAATTTAGAAAACATCTTTCATTAATATTAAAATCAGTCACTTATATTGTATTATTATTATATTGTAATATCCACTGTCTTTTAAAACAATGTCTAGATTCATAGTAGGAGCTCTAGTAGTGTAGTGCCTAAGGCATTTGACTGCTAACCAGAAAGCTGGTGGTTCAAACCCACCAGCCATCCTCAGAAAGAAGATTGGGCGATCTACTTCCCGTAGTGATAACACCTTGGAAACCCAAGGAGGGGTCGCTATGAGTCAGATCTGACTTGACAGCACTGAGTTTAGTCTGGTTTTTTTTAGACTCATAGTATTTAAGTTCCACCTTTTTCACATTTTTTATACATTTAAAAAAACCCTGAAAATCGCAGTATGTTGCTCAATTCTTTTGAATCTCTCTTCATTAGAGATTATACCTTTAGCCAAGAGTTTCTCCATAAGAAATTAGTTTCAGGGTTATTTGGATGGCTTATCTCCAAGCCTGTTGGATGGCTATCATTCTACCACTCACCTTCTTGATTTCTTCAGCTGGACTTCTTAATCCAGTTACTCCCAGAATCCTAGCTTCATTCTTCCCTCTCACTAGATTGATGGTTTACCTAGATGTACCCTTCTAAAATTGTTTCCATTCAGAATATTGAAGGAATTATGCCACTGGTCTCCAGTGTTGGTGTTCCAAAAATCAAACCAAACTTACTGCTGTCAAGTGAGATCCGACTCATAGTGACCCCTCCTTGGGTTTCTGAGATGGTTATCACTACGGAAGTAGATTGCCCAACCTTCCTTCCAAGGAATGGCTGGTGGGCTGGTTAGCAGTCAAATGCCTTAGGCACTATGCCACCAGAGCTTCTGTGTTGGTGTTAGGAAGTCTAACACCATTTTGCTTCCAGTTCCTTGGAATGTGACCTGTGGCAAGTATTTTCGTGGCTGGCTCTTTCTCATCACTCACTTCTCGGCTGACCTCTTGGGAGATGTTTATTCACCAACCAATCAAGAAAAGCCCCCACAAGTCATTCTCACATCACCCCATTTTATTTTCATCAAACTATTTATTGGTACTTAATAATTTCTTGTTTTACTTTTTTCTATATTTCTGTTTCTGCCAAATAAACTGTAAGCTCCATGATAATGTTTGCTTCTAAATTACCATTGCCAAGGACAATGCCTGACATATAGCAGGTAATTAATAAATACCTGTTGACTAAATTAATGAAAGCCTATACTCTAGTAGTACTGCCAAGAGTGGAATAAGAATGGACTCTTGATTGATATTTCTAAATTATAGAAAAGAGAGTCATGTGTAGAAGTTCATCTTTGTCATGATGCTTAGATTTACTGTAAACATGCCTTCTGGCCATAGCAAATCTAGTATCTAAAGAATTATTAATCAATGTTCAAATCAGTAACATAGTTGATTGACACTTCTTGAGTCACTTGTCAGCAAATTCAATCATGACTTTACTATGCTCCAGTTTCTCCCAAAATCTTGCATAAGGCAACTAGAATTTTGATACATAATGTAAGGACTGTTTTTAACTAGGAGCTCTGGTAGCATAAGGAGCTCTGGTAGCATAGTGCCTAAGGCACTGGACTGCTAACCAGAAGACTGGTGGTTCAAACCCACCAGCCACTCCTTGGAAGGAAGGTTGGGCAATCTACTTCCGTAGTGATACCTCCTTGGAAACCCAAGGAGGTGTCACTATGAGTTGGTTTCAACTCAATAGCAGTGAGTTTGGTTGTTTTTAACTATCATTCTCTAGGTTCTTGCTTCTATGTCCCTGTATTAAATTGTATCATCAGAAAGCAATGTCTTTTGGCCAAATCTTCCTCCTTATAAAAATAAATCATTATCATATTAAGATTTAATACTGTTATCTTTTTTCTAATAGAGCAGTGACATGTGGAAAGCAATAGAGCAAACTAAGAGCACAGACTACAGCATTAGATGACCTCAGTGTGAACCCCAGCTTCTCCACTTATGATCTATGTATGTGTCCTTAGGTCTGTTACTCTCTAAGCCACAATCTCCTAATCATAACAGTTGTTGTTGTTATGTGCCGTGGAGTTGGACCCAACTCATAGCGACCCCTTCTTGGGTTTCTGAGGCAGTATCACTATGGAAGTAGATTGCCCCATCTTCCTTCTGAGGAGTGGCTGGTGGGTTTGAACCACCAGCCTTCTGGTTAGCAGTCAAGTGCCTTAGGCACTATGCTACCAGATAGTAGTAGGGGACTACTACTATCCTACTATTATGAGGATCAAATGAAGTAATTCATCTAAAGTAGTAGGCAAAGCCATTAATACATAATGAGTATTTTTTTTAAAAATTAGCTGAAATTATTATAAGAAATTCTCTGTTTGAGAGAATTTCTCAATTCAATACTTCCATATTCTTTGTAAAATCCTGGCTGAAAGCACCATTCATTACATTATATAAAATAAATTCCTCAATCAGGTGGGAAGAATTATATGACCAGTTATGTTTTCTTTCCTGAAAGAAACTCAGACCATGATCATTTACCATGACTTGTTTTCCACTTTAAAAAAAAAAAACTAGCTTTCCTTTTGATTTTATTTTTAATTTTCCTCTTATGTGTTGTGTTTAACTTCATAACTTATGGTTCTGCCATTTACTAACAGAGTAACCTTGTAGAAGTTATTTTAAATTTAAAGCTATACTTTCTTCATCTGTCAAATGGGCATTGTTGCAGACACAGAAGACTATCATTCTGGTACCTCTTTTTTAAGAGCCACTCCTCTTCTCCATCCTTACTCCCTTGAGAGCCATACAAGAAGCCCAACCTTCTAAGCACTTACGATTTCTCAAGAAATGGACACTTAATTCAAGCAAGGTCAGGAAGACAATTCTGAGAAATTTTGGATTTAGTACTGAAAAGAGTCAGGTCAATTTCCTTCTAGTGACTGAAATTATAAGACATAAATCTCAGAGATTTCTAGTGGGAATGCTTATGGAATGAGTCAGTCCACAGCGAAAGAAAAGAATGATGCTAAGACCCAGGAAGGAGAAGCAGAATGCATCTTAATGGTTCCAATGGCTCCTCAGTTCTTGCTATGCCTCTGGTTTGCCTGTTTTATCAGACACTCAGTATCTTTCCAATAAATCTGTTTTTGGTAGAGAATTTAAGTTTGATTTCCATCACTTAAATCCCAAATAGTTATAATACACAGAAAAGAATTCCTGTTTAAAATAGTTGTTATAAAACAGTAAATGAGATAAAATAATTAAATGCTTAACATATTAAACCAAAAAGAGAACCCATGGCCACTGGGTCGTCTAATTGATAGCAACCCTATAGGACACAGTAGAAGGGCCCCATAGGTTTCCAAGGCTATAAATCATACGGTAGTAGACAGTCACATCTTTCTCCCAAGGAGCAGCTGGTGGGTTCGAACCATCAACATTTTGGTTAGCAGCCAAGTATTTTAACTACCGTGCCACTAGAGCTCCTCCTAGCATATTACCTGGCATATAATATTTGTTCAAAGAATGGTACTTGTTAATGTTATTTAGAAAATGGGGATATAAATGCTAAATCTATTATTGGACACAATTTCAAGGCGTTGCAAATCTTCTTTCTTCTTGTAGTTTCAAAATCATCTAAAAGTATTTTGGATACTGAAGGAACAGCAAAATATGAGAAACGTTATGAATCAATTCTGCTGCATATCACTGTATAAATCTAAGTGAGATAATCTTCTATAGTTAAATATTCTTAGAAAATAATGAAGCCTCAGGCCCAGCAATCAACAGTTTCTTGCTTAACTCACTTGTTTAAAGTGAACATATCAGAGGGAAAGTGGGAAAATTGTGCAGATTAACATTCAATTTACCTCAAATATACAGAAATAAGCCTGATATATATTTAAATGTATAAAATTTTGGTTTGGCTGCATTTATAACAATTTTTACATAATATAAAGCACGTAATATAATAAAGAAAAAAAATGGAATCAGCATACCTGTAGAGATACTACATTGACATTGTCAAAATGTATGTGCCCATTAGGTTCTGTGACAGCAGGATTTGCATAGCATGTCACACCATTGATAGCAGGTAACGTTTTGGGTTGACATGTTTTTTCTCGAGAAGGACCAAAGTCATCATTTGCAAAGTGGGTATGATCATTCTATGCGGAGGGAGGGAAAAAGGAACCAGAAGTTATAGAAACAACAACAAAACAAATGAAGGTTCATATAAACAATAGTTTACTCCTTATTTGTGAGAGGAAGTTTTTGTTCATTCTATATGTATTCAATGTAACCTTTTTAGATTTAAAAAATTTCTCTTCCTTTAAATATATTCTCATTTATTAGGTTCTGTTGAATCTTTTATCATGTTAACTTTCTTACTTTGATGAATATGTGCATCTGTAATTTGGCATTAAGTTGCTAGTACTTCCTTAAATTCTACACTATGAACCAAGTATTTCTTCCCTACTTGTCAATATATTTACTCTTTTCTTTCTTCTTACATTCACAGATCTTAATAACTGGATCTTTCACACAATTCTAAGAATAAAATCCATGCCTTTACCTGCCTATATAAGGTAACTTTTTGTTAGTAAAATATCAAATGTATTTACTTGACCATATGTCTTCAATAACATCTTAAGCATCCTTTCAACAAAGAAAAGTAAGTAAAATCCACCAAACACAGCAGCTGCTTTCTCAACATAGTTGTCAGTTTTGGGATTGAATCCAAATGCCTGAAGGAAGAAAAAAAAAAAAAGTAATTCAGGTAAAACCAAATAATTTAACTTGATTTCTGGAAAATAGTACCATATTTTCTCAGCATATATTTTCACCAAAGTGCTAAGCCAGGTGACATTGAGGATTTCTCTGCCAAAACCACAAGACAAAAACTCTGAAACTGAATAACAAAACTGTAAAACGTAGCTATGGACCTTGTAAACAAAGAATGTCTCATGAAATAAAGCCACCGAAGAAATGTGCAGTTTCCTAGTAATAATACCTACAGCAATATTTGCCTTGAAAGTAAAGTTTTATCGATAAATAAGCAGCATGATTCCCATCTTCAGAAGATAGGATTAGGTCCAGATAATGAAGATAAATGAGATCTTGATGACTAACTTTCTCCAAAAATAATGCATTTGTCCTTCATATCCAGAGTCCAATTTTTAAAGTAAATATGGCAAGCCATTTGGGTTACCAATTTCCTGGGATAGGTCTTCTTATACCTAATGGATCCTGATAAATCCTAAGGACATAAACATATCAAGGACTGGACACAAGAATTAAAAAGAAGATTTGAAATTGTATCAGATATGCACAGACATACACAAACACAGTAAGAATGAACTTAATCCATTGTTTACAGGATAAAAGGGTAAGAGAGCTTGAGATTATAAAGAACAGACAAGAAACATAAATTTAATATAAATAAATAAACAGGAGAAGAGAATAATATATGAAAAGCTACAGCTTTCGACCATCCCACACCTTCTAAGTCTCCCCTCAGAACAGCAGTCTAGTGTAGAGGATGCTTGGGTTCTTGTTCTATGTCTACTTCCAGTAAGATCTCACAGCCACATCTTCATTTGAGTGACTTCTCTGTCCTTATTTATGCAATGTAAGTGTCTATCACATATATTCAACATAGATGCTATGAAAATTACATGAAATAACAAAAATGAAAGAAATTTGCCAAAAAAGAAAAGAAAGAACTCTGCATGGAAATTTGAGAATTATGTCAAGAGAGTTCTTTAGTGCTTACGTAATTCTCCAATCACTTCCATTATTCTTTAATTATCACAAAAAGGCATAGGGTTTCTTATTTTTCTTGTAGATATTTGCAAAAAAATAGTAAACCTCAAAAGCATAGGTGCAGAATCTCTAGTACATATACAATTATCAATTTAATTTGACCCACAAGATACACATATATAATGGCAAATATGTAATTATATTAAATACTTTATATGTATATTGTACATTCCAAAAAAAAAAACCCACTGCCATCTACCTGATTCTAACACACAGCAACCCCCACTGGGTTTCCGAGACAGTAAATCTTTATGGAAGTAGATTGCCCCGTTTTCCTTCTGTGGAGTGGCTGATTGGTTTGAACTGCCAACTATCTGGTTAGCAGTCAAATGCCTTAGGCACTACACCATAAGAGTTCTTTATATTATACATAACATTTTTTTTTTAAATCAGACAAATCTGTGGAATAATCACAGCTTTGTTACTAGCTGATTGTATGACTCTGATCAAGTTATTTAAACTCCTAGACTTCAATTACTTTTCATTTCTAAAATTAAGGGTTTGAAGCAGATGTTCTCCTAGGTCCTTTCTGCACCAAGTAATAAGGGTCATGCCTAAAAAAGTGAATACTCACTTGTGTACAAACCTGTGAAAACTGAAACAGGTTTTAGTGATAATTGTCTAAAAATTATGAGATGATGTTGGTACTTCCATTTCAAAATATTATTTTCTCTTTGTTTAGGGCTTGTCTCTCCATCTTTTTGTGTGCATGTGGGAGTGGGAGATAAAGTTCCATGAGTATATATATCAAGTTCCCCTTGATAAAAAAAACCAAACCAAACCCATTGCTATTGAGTCGTATCTGACTCATGCTGACCCCTCCTTGGGTTTCCAAGGCAGTATCACTATGGAAGTAGATTGCCCAACCTTCCTTCTGAGGAGTGGCTGGTGGGTTTCAACTGCCAGCCTTCTGGTTAGCAGTCAAACTATTAATATCTCTTTCTCTTTATTCTCCTTATCAACCTTCCATCTCTTTTCTTCTCACTTATTCTCCTTCCTCTGTTTCTCTTCCTTGAATAGAAGACCACCATATAGAGTTTGAATACAACACACATATTATTTGCTTTATATGTATTAACTGAATAGTGTACTATAGTCCATATCCAATCATTAATACATTTTATCAAAGGGAAAAATAATAAGTTGCTATTTACTTACTGGTTCTATATTGATTTTTCCCTCAGTTAAAGAAAAAAAGGAAAAGAACATATTTGTGAATTGTGCTTTATCTTTCAGTCTTCAAAGTGATATATATGAGAGACTTTTGTGATATGTTGTCAGTAAATTTGACATTGTATCCTTTTTAGAAAATAAATAAATAAATAATGTGACAGTGCATAGAAAATTAAATTTGCCAAATGCAAGGCAGAATGAAGTTTTAAGGCCCTCAGAGGTGTCCCAGAGCCGTCTGAGCACGTACTGGTGGCCAGCCTTCTAGAATGTTAATTTTGTCTCTAACACTTAAATCCACTGCAGCTTTGGGACAAGCTATTATATTTGCTGTGATTCAGCATTCTCTTATTCAAAACACTATAAACCAGATCATAAAATGCTATGAGAATTATGGAGGCTAAAAACATGCAAAGTAGTAGCATTAAAAAAAAATTTTTTTCACAGAAACAAATAGCCAACATCCTTACCTCCGGAATAAGTTGGAAAATAGCATTTGAAAACAGAGTTCCAATAGCCAGCCCCACAAAATAGGTCAAAATCTTAGGGAAATAAGATTTCTTTATCAAGGGAGTCAAAACCAGTCCAAGAAGAGATGCGAGATTAATAATTGTCACTGACAGGAATCCATATCCCCAAACTGTGGTTGGGAGGAAGAAGAGAGCAGACATTAATCAGCAAAAATGGGCCAAATGAAGTCTTATCGTACATTAAGCTTGAAACAAATGTCTTCTTTAAGAACATGAAACAGATTTCTCCCCTAAAACAACAAAATCTTCTCTATGGAAATCATAATAAACATATAGAAAATAAATATTGCATAATAAAAATTGATAGTAATACTGCCTAAACTTTAATAAGTCCTAAACAATTATCATGGAATCAAAGAATGCTACAGCTAGAAGAGAAATTGGAGGACATTCAGAATATTGACAAGCAACCTGAGGCTACAGGTTCCAAACTACATTCAGCCACCTAGTTTCATCTTGGCTCAAGGCCTAATTTAAAACTCAGTCTTCCAAAGGAACAAAGAGACTGTGAGTTTCAGGGAGAAGGTATGGCATGATGAGTAGAAGGGAGCAGGAGGAGGTGGGTAGGGATGGGTTATCTTCAAGCTGACCATAGCTGCTGACACTAAGCTTGTCATAATCACTTTTCTGCAGACGCCTGTGTACACCTCCTAGAAAAGGTCAGCACTTTAGCCTCCCGCTGGGGCCTCACAGGATCTGAAGTCAGCCCAGTGCAATGAGCACTCAGGAAGTGAGCACATGGGAAGGGAAGGAGCAGCTATATCAACCCCCTCACACTGTCAGGCCCAGACTAAGGCACAAATATCCTATGCAGAGGAGACCCTGGTGACAGAAGGAAATATTTCATCTCTCTATTCCTAAGGGTTGGCACCCATTAGGTGCTCAATAAAGGTTGCTTTGAACGAAATGAACTAATGCCAAAAAAGAAAAAATAGTTCTATAGCGAGTGTTATGCATGACCTCTTGTTTTGGACCTCAGTTGCTCCTTCATTATCATACCCTCACAAACACACACACACATACACAAATACCAATTGCATTAAGCTGGTTTGGATTCATGGCAACCCTATGCGCGTCAGAGTGGAACTGGGCTTCATAAGGTTTTCAATGGCTAATTTTTCAGAAGTCAGTTGCCAAGCATTTCTTCCGAGGCACCTCTGTATATACTTTTTTTTTTTTTAATTGTGATTTGGGTGAAAATTTACAGAGCAAATTCACTTTCCATACAGCAGTTCACATACACTTTGTCTCATGACATTGACCACAGTTTACCACAATGCAACAGCTCCCCTCCCATTTCCTCCCGATAGTTACCTCTTCCCTGTGTCCATCCCTCTATGCACTCCTGCCCCCTGAGCTGTCTCCCTGTGCATAAGCAGCCCTTCTTTCTCCCATGATTGTTCTCTCCAAGGAGAATATCTACCTCAGGTAAATGTTCAACTCATATGCCTGTCTTTCATTTGTCTGGAAACCATAAGTGTGGGTTCAATTCCAGACCTGAAGGGCAGCTAACGGCCATAGTCTCAGTAGTTCCACCAAGCTCTATTGGACCAGCAAATCTGGTCCCCCCCCCCCTTTCTTTTTCTCCAAATGATTTTGAGTTTTGTTCCACATTGTTCTCCCTCTCTATCCAGGATCTCCTACATAGATTGCCCTCCAAGTGGTTGACAGTGGTAGCCGGACACCATCTAGTTCTTCTGGTCTCATAGTTGTACAGGCTGCAGATCGGATGGTGTACCAGTCGCCAGGACTAATCGTTTCCATGAATTTTGGTTTTCTTCATTCTTCTTTGCCCTGGGTGAGGAGAGACCCATCATTGCATCTAGATGGCAACTTGCTAGCTTTTAAGATACCAGTTGCTACTTGCCAAAGTAGGAGGTAGAACAATGTTTTGTGTAGTATGTTATGCCAATTGAGCTTGATGTCCCCTGCGACTATGGTCCCGAGCCCACAGGATCAACTACTCGGTCCCTCTGGGTAGCTGGCTGTGACCAAGCAGTGACCACAACCTTGCCCCTTGTCAGCTCTACTATACACCTGGGAATTCAGATCATACACATAAACTTATAGGACAATTGCCTGCCAACACTATACATGTTCTTGGGTACGCTCCCCGCTTTGTAGACATACCTACTAGTTCAGCCTGTCCACTCATCTATCCACCCATATACCCATGTTTGCCTTCACTGACATCACAGTACTGTATGAGCAAAAGGGTTCATCTTTGCTGTCTGTACCTCCCATGGACCTCTCTATATCTTTCTCTTCCTCAATGCCACCATATTGATCACTCACATTTGGTACATTGCCCTTCTCTTCACCCAAATCAATACTTATCTCTATCTATCTAACAGTGGTCCCTACCCTACCCTTCCACCCCTGGTAACCAACAAAGAAAATTTCCTTCCATAGATAAACATTTCCTTGACTTTTACAATAACAGACTAATACAATATTTGTCCTTTTGTGATTGACTTATTTCACTCAACATAATGTCCTCCAAGTTCATCCACGTTATGGGTTGTTTTGCAGATTCTACATTATTCTTTACCATTGCACAGTGTACCATTGTATGTATATACCATAGTTTGGTTATCCATTCCACAGTTGATGGACAACCTCTGTGTATACTTGAACTTCCAACCTTTTGGTTAGCAGCCAAGCATGTTAACCATTTGTACCACCCACAGACTTCCCCTTATCATGTTGTTGTTGTTAGGTGCCATTGAGTCAGCTCCAACTCATAGTGACCCCATGTACAACAGAACGAAACACTGCTTGGTCGGGTGCCAACCTCACAATCCTTGCCATGCCTGAGCTCATGATTGCAGCCACTGTGCCAATCCATCTCATTGAGGGCCTTTCCGTTTTTCACTGAACCTCCATGATATTCTTGATATCCTTCTCCAGAGAATGATCCCTTCTGACAACAAGACCAAAGTAGGTGAGATGAAGTCTGGACATTCTCACTTCCAAGGAGCATACCAGCTGCACTTCTTCCAGGACAATTTGTTAGTTCTTCTGGAAGCCCGCAGTACTTCCAATATTCTTCACCAACACCACAACTCAAAAGCATCAACTCTTCTTCAGTCTTCCTTATTCAATGTCCAGCTCTCACATGCATATGAGGTGATTGGATATACCATGGCTTGGGTTAGGCCCACCTTAGTCTTCAAGGAGACATCTTTGCTCCTCAGCACAGTCTTTTGCAGCAGATTTGCCCAGTGTAATACATCAGCTGATGTCTTGACAGCTGCTTCCACTGGTGTTGAAAGTGGATCCAAGTAATACGAAATCTTTGACAACTTCGATCTTTTCTCAATTTATCATGATGCTGCTTATTGGTCCAGTTGTAAGGATTTTCATTATCATAGATGGGTTGATTTAAGGATGAAATAGGAATGCAAGCAAAACCTACTGTGTGAATCTAGGCCAATGGCCTATGGCAGTGCAGGCTGAGACACCATGTGGCCTCTGGGATTGTGCAACATGTGACCTGGCCTATGGCCTCACACGCTGTGCACAAAGTACAATATGACAGCTTAGAAAGCTCCCTCTGCATTGTTACTTCTTTAAAATGTCCTGGAAATGTTTTGAAAAGTAGAGCCACCTTTCTTATTGGCACTAACAGTGGAATATACTAGTAATACTTAACACGTAGTGAATGTTTGCCATGTGCCAGGCCCTGTGATTAGTGATTGACAAGCGTTAATTAATTTGATCCCTACAAAGCCTTATGAGATAAGAATTATCATTACTTCCTTCATACATGACAAAACCAAAGTACATAGAGTTGAAATCAAGGCACACAGATAGAAAGTTAGACTTCAAACCCAGGCTGTCTTGCTCCAGTGCCCACGTTTTTTTAGCAATATACTTTATTTCTTCTGTGGACATAATCTAATTGCTAAAATTCCCAAGGGACTCAACAAAACTGTGAATACTTTATCCTGAATTATACCTCATGAATACAAGGTTACTCACCACTATTCTTGTCTAAGAGACTCTTGTCTATAAATAAACAATCAGAAAATGCCCATAGAGCCCAGGATGTGAACAAAACCATGGTTGGTGACAATGAAGTTATGAGTCTTTGCCTGAAAAGCTCACACACACACACACACACACACACACACCAATACAAAGTAACATATGCTAAGTACCAAATGAAAAATACAGAAAATAAATGTTACTATGTAACCACAAGAGTTACCTCAACACTGACCATAAAATTTCCAGACACTTACCTGTCAATTCAACTCCTGACCATGCCCTACAAAGCCATTCTTCAGTCTACCTCATTCCTATTTCTTTTTTACCTTTTCACTAAAACAATACTATTTCCCTATAATTTTCTTTAGAGAGTGCTTTCAACCGCACATCTTCCTCTAATGTGTATTTGAATGTGGTTTCTCTTAACACAAACACTTGCCTACATTCATTCAACAAATATTTGTAATCTCTTTAGGAAGACAAGATGTGTATACATGTTGAAAACTAAAATAAAAATGCAAAGTGATTTTTTACACTTATTTAGATACAAATATTAAATATATCAGCTTCTCCAGAGACATCCTGCTCCACTGTCCTCATTCATTATCTCCACAGATAGCAGAAACATCAGGGTCAATTTCAATTTCCCACTCTCCATCACTCAATTCCTGTAGACAACTGATGACCAAACCCTATCAGTTCCACTTCAGAGGTGTTTCTTACCTCCAGCTTCTCTAGCCTCATTACCTCTGCCTCGATTTCAGGCCCTCATGATCTCTCTTCTTTAATCAGATTTATTGACAGCTTTCAATTGTGTCTTCCTCCTCCTCGTTGACACAACCACCAGATCTATTATACTAAAACACAAATCTGATCATCCCATGCCCCTGTTTGAAGCTGCCTTTCATAAACTGACTCCCACCAAACCTCTCCAGCTTTACATGCCTCCTTCCTCCAAATATGGCCTGTTTCCACTTCCTGAGTCCCACTTAGTTCCTGAGATAGAGTAAACTGGCCAAGTAGAGATATTTTTGAATATCAATAATTAACCTGTGCAGAATAAAGTATTTGCTTTTTCTTAAGCCTCATCTTCTGTACCCTGAATTATGTAATGTTAAATATATTTTATTTAACAGACACTTATAAAGCACTATGTGCCAGACAATGACTTAAGTGCATTACAAAATTCAAGTCATTTAATCCCAGTACCAACGTTATGTTTGTGGTTGTTCTTAGTTGCTGCTGAATCAGCTCTGACTCATGGCAATCTTACATATAACAGAATAAAACATTGCCCGGTCACAATTGCTAGTATGTTTGAGTCCACTGTTGCAATCACTGTGTCAACCTTATGAGAAACCATATGTGTCAGCCTTAGGAGAAAAGTACTATTACCCCCATTCAAGGTGAGAAATCCGAGGCTGAAAGAGATCAAGTCACAAACCTGAGAAATGACAGAACCGGATTTAAGCCCAAATAGGCTAATATCAAAGTCTATGCTTTCACTATGCTCTCCTATTGTTGTTGTTGTTGTTGTTATGTGCCGTGGAGTCAGACCTGACCCATAGCTTCCCCTCCTTGGGTTTCCGAGGCAGTATCACTATGGAAGTAAATTGCCCAACCTTCCTTCCGAGGAGTGGCTGGTGGGTTTCAACTGCCAGCCTTCTGGTTAGCAGTCAAGTGCCTTGGGCACTATGCTACCAGAGCTCTTTGCTCTCCTGTCAGCAAAAGTTAATATATTTAAGCAGTTGCTGAGTTTAGTTTTGAATGTAAAATGCATCACAGTTAAACAGAGTTGTAGAAATATGAAAACATTCTCATTTAGTATATACTCTAGCAAAAGAAATAAAATGACAGATCTCACTGCAAAAATCTGCTACAAAAGACCTCTTTAAAGATGTCACTTTGAGGATTAAAGTGTGCTTGACCCAAGCCATGGTATTTTCAATTGCCTCATATGCATGCAAATAGAGGACAATGAATAAGGCAGAGGAAAGAACTGACACATTTGAATTATGGTGTTGGTGAAAAATATTGAATGTATCATGGACTGCCAGAAGAACAAACAAAACTGTCTTGGAAGAAGTGCAGCCAGAATGCTTCTTAGAAGGGACGATGGCATGACTTCATCTTACATATTTTGGACATGTTATCAAGAGGGGCCAGTATCTGGAGAAGGACATCATGCTTAGTAAAGTAGAAGGTCAGAGAAAAAGAGGAAGACCCTCAATGAGATGGACTCACACAGAGGCTGCAATGATGGGCTCAATAGCAGCTATTGTGAGGATGGTGCAGGACTGGACATTGTGTCCTTCTGTTGTCCACAGAGTTGCTATGAGTTGGAACTGGTTTGATGGCACCTAACAACTAACAAAATATTTTCTTAAACAATTAGCCTGGAAATTATTGCTATTCACAAAAATTGTTACTTGTATTTATCAGATTTGTGTTTGGTGCTTTTCATTCTTTGTATACATAAAGATAGAATATGAAAGAAAACATGGGTTCTGAAGCTGGCCTGGCTCTACCTACAAGTTCTGTAACTTTGAGCAAATGACTTTAACCTTGGTTTTTCCAACTATAAAATGGGGATAACAGTGCTTACCTCAACAGTTGTATAAAAATTAAATGAGTTAATATATATGAAGTATTTGGAACAGTGCCTGGCACATAATAACCATGACATAAGAGTTGGCTATTATGGTTGTTGTTCCTATTATATAAAGAGAAATCTAAGTATTCATATATACAAGGAATCCAAAAGCAAATGCAATAGCCACTTCATTTCTTGACCTCTCCTTTTTCTTCTCCACTTACACTCTCTTCATGTTCTCTATTTATATTTCCATTAGATGAACTTGCTCAGATCCGCAGCTTTCAATACCATCTCTAGGATGACAAATTTCCAGCCTCAATCTCTCCTCTGAGCTCCAAATGTGTACATGCCACTGCCCACTGGACATCTGCATTTGTGTGTCTATGTCAATAACTGGCTAAGTCAAAAATGATACTCTTGATCCTTACCATCCCCTTCCTGACCAACAACTGCTCCTCTCCAATCTTCCCCATTCCGGAAAGTATCTATTTACTTTCTCTCGCCCAAATGTTGATGCATCTTCCTCTCCTTACATCAAATCCAGAGGCAAACTATTGTAGCACTATCTCCAAAAATGTATCTAGAGCCTAATCACTTCTCTCCAATTCCGTTCCTCCCACCTTAATCCTACTCACCATCACCTCTAGCATCAATGCCTGATAATAGCTTCCTGACCAATATCCTTGCTTCCTACTTTTGCATCGTTACAATCTATTTTTCAAATGACAGGTAGAGTATGCTGTTACAAATTTAAATAAAATCATGTCGCTCCACTGTTTAGAATGCTATAGGGGCTTCCTGCCACATTCAGAATAAAAGCCAATCATTTTACTGAACTTTATAAGACCCTGCTTAACTCTGGGGTATTACCTTCTCCTACTCTCCCTCCTGCCCGCTATGCTTCACACAGACCTTCTTGTTCCTTCCATAGGCCAAGCTCATTCCTAAGCTTATACTAACTTTTCCTCAGCCAAGAACGCTCGTCTCTCAGAGAAGATCTTGCCATGGCACTCTCCTCCTCAGTCGGGACTCTGCTCAAATGTTATCTCAGTAGAGGAACCTTCATTGACCTGTTTAAAATCACATTTATCCCACACCTCTTTTTATCTCTTACCTACTTTATTCTCTTCCTAGTGTTATCACTCTGAAGTTATATTATTGATTTTCTTGTATGTTTCATTGTTTCTTATCTCTCTTCTCCACTACACTGTAAGCCCTAAGAGGCCAGGGATTTTTTTTTTATTATTATTATTCACTAATGAATACTCAATACATAGAAGAATAAATAAATATTTATTGGATTAACTCATAAAAGAAAAAAACATGAGGAACAAAATACCCATGTGGTATAAGTTAACAATTTAAGACACAGAAATATTGCACATAACTAGCAAATAGACCCCTTGAACAATTGGTTTATTTCATTATTGAAAATATACTTCTACAGGTTTATGTGTATGTGAACTCTACCTATATATCAAACATATACTCATTTTCTTAAAATTGTTAATGTCTTTACAGCAAATTATTCCTTTAAAATTATAGACAAAGGACATAGCTCAGGGGTCAAGAGTGCGTGGAGGGAAGGACACAGGGAAGAGATAACCATGGGGGAGAAGTGGGAGGGGAGCTGCTGCATTGTGGTAAATTGTCATCAATGTCATGAAACAAAGTGTATGTGAACTGCTGTATGGAAAGTGAATTTGCTCCGACAACTTTCACCCAAATCACAATTTAAAAAAAAAAAAATTATAGACATAATAATTGTTAGCATTTTCTTTCATTTACAAAAACTAAAACAATAATAAGCAATAATTTGATAGAGAAGCATGATACTTATCATTACACTGATAATTACAGATAAAATAACAGGGTTTAAAATAATATAATAAGAAAAAGTTAATATAAATGTGTACATCATGAAGTCTATACTGTTTAAAGTCAGGAATTAAGTTTTATTTTGGTTTCTAAGTGCTTCCAAGTATAATTTTGACTCCACAAATGGAAATAAAAAAAAAAAAACTCGCTGCTGTCAAGTCATTTACAACTCATAGCAACCCCTCTTTGGGTTTCTGAGATGGTATCTCTGTGGAAGTAGATTGCCCAGCCTTCCTTCCAAGGAGTAGCTGGTGGGTTTGAACTGACTGCCTTCTTGTTAGCAAATGCCTTAAGTACTACATCACCAGAGCTCCTCCACAAATGGAAGAGTATAACTTCCAGAGGGCAATTGGTATTCAATGAATTCTAATAATTCTTACCCTAAATACTTTCAAAACATACGTATTTTTTACCAAGGAGTTCTATATAGATTAACAGCTATAAAACAGAAAAGGAAGCATGCTAACTTCATTTCAAATGGGCCAATAGATTTTTCAAACAAATGGGAGAAAAAAAAATCCAACATACCTTCCGAAAGACTTGGCTTTGTTTTGTGCTTGGGCCTAGCCTCGCAAGGATGAAAGCTCAATTGCTGTAAGACTGCTGGACAGATGATGGAGAAGTTAGAGTTGGTTATCTGGGTAGCATTTGAAAAGCCATGAAGGAAAAAAATCTCTTCAGCAGATAAACACTAAAATAGAATAAACAAAGTAAAGAAATATGTGTTAATAAAGTACCCAAGCAAAGATACCATAAAGACACACAGAATATTGCATCTAAATGCATAGTACTTACTCTTTATACAGAAGCCCACTACAAAAACATATGGGCCTCTAAAACTGTAAAACTGTCCAAACATCCTAAAACTCAGAAACTTGAAAAATAACAAACAACAACAACAAACATTCTTAACCAACAGTCTACCTATAAAGCAGCCAAAAAGATAAGCATTTGGTTAGGGGTACCCAAGAACTTTAAAAATATGAAAAGTAGGCCAATAGCATTCAAACAAAGGGCTCTAAAATGGTTCTATATTCTCTGTCATCCATTGCTGCTACTTTAGTGTTAATGGATATTTTGTGGAAGCTGTTGGAGTGGCTCTCTGTGACATTTCTTACAGACAAATTCCTGGTTCTTTCACAATTTCATAGTCAAGAAATGCATCCCTCCTTCTAGATAGCAGTCATTCCAATACAGAAAAGCTGCTTTAAAGTCTGTTCTTAGCACAAACTATTACCTACTAAATATGTATTACTCTCAATGATGATAGTAGCTTTTCTATACTATATGAAGTTTTAAAATTAGAGCTGTGTTGTTTAGAAATTGATTAACTATTAATGGGGAATGTTGTTGTTTTTGTTATGTGCCATCGATTCGGCCCTGACTCATAGCGACCCCTCCTTGGGTTTCCGAGGTAGTATCACTACGGAAGTAGATTGCCCCATCTTCCTTCTGAAGTGTCTACCTTATTACATCATGATAAATGGAGAAAAAATTGAGGTTCTCATGGTTTTCATTTTACTTAGATCCACAATCAATGTCCATGGAGACAGCAGTCGAGAAATCAAATGATGTATTGCATTGGGCTAATCTGCTGGAAAAGACCTCTTTAAAGTGTTAAAAGGCAAAGCTGTCACTTGGAGGACTAGAGTGCACCTGACTCAAGTCACATTATTTTCAATCGCCTCATATGCATGTAAAAGCTCACATACTTTGGATATGTTATAAGGACTAGGGATATCTTATCAGGACGGGTCAGTCCCAGGAGATGGACATTATACTGGTTAAAGTAGAAGGTCAGTGAAAAAGAAGATCCTCAGAGACATGGATTGTCACAGTGTCTGCAACAATGGGCTCAAACACGGTCATGATTGTGAGGATGGTGCAGGACTGGGCAGTGCATCCGTCTTTTGTACAGAAGGTTGCTATGAATCAGAACTGACTCCACAGCACTTAATAATAACAACAGTGTTGCATTACAAACAAATTTGTTACTAAAATAACTTTTTAAAGGTATCATTTTACTCTTGGGCACATTTTAATTGTAAACTATCTTTTACTTAGATACTTAACACAAGGATGGTGGTATAGTGCCTAAGGCATTTGACTGCTAACCTGAAGGCTGGCCTTTCAAACCCACCAGCCACTTCTCAGAAGGAAAATGGTTTTTATTGTTTATGAATATCTCAAAGAATTATACTGTGGAAAATATCCATTCACTCAAAGAAAAGAGTCTATCTTTAATGAGCACAACTGAAAAAAGTTATTTTTGAGCATCAAGCAATACTTAAATCCCACTAAGACCTTAGAAACTGGTAGCACACTGGTTAAGCACTAGAATGCTAACCAAAAGGTCAACAGTTCGAACGCCCCAGTCATTCAGGGGGAGAAAGATGTGGCAGTCTACTTCCACAAAGATTGTTGCTGTTGTTGTTATGCGCCGTCGAGTCAAACCCGACTCATAGTGACCCCTCCTTGGGTTTCCGAGGCAGTATCACTACGGAAGTAGGATTGCCCAACCTTCCTTCCGAGGAGTGGCTGGTGGGTTTGAACTGCCAGCCATCTGGTTAGCAGGCAAGTGTCTTAGCCACTATGCTACCAGAGCTCCATAAAGATTACAGCCTTGGAAACCTTATGGGGCACTTCTATCCTAGCTTATAGTATCCCTATGAGTCAGAATAGACTTGAAGGTAGTAAGTTTGTTTTTCTGGTTTAAGACCTTAACTATGAATGATACTGAGAACTCCAAAGATGATGTTCACTATTTTAGAATTAAAAAAAAAAAAAAAAAAATGTTGCCTTCAAGTTGATTCTGACTGGCGACACCATGTGTGCGAGAGTAGAGCTGTGCTCCATAGGGCTTTCAATGGCTGAGTTTTAGAAATCAGATTGCCAAACCTTTCTGAGATGCCTCTGGGTGGACCCAAACGTCCAACCTTTCAGTTAACAGTCAAACATATTAACCATATGCATCATCCAGGGACAAACAATTTTGGTACCAGGAGATCATCACTGATTATACAGATGAAAAAAACACTTCCAGTACACCAAGATATATGTCCAAAAGCAAAAACCTGTTGCTGTCAAGTCAGTTCCAACTCACAGCAACCCTACAGGACACAACAGAACTGCCTCATAGGGTTTCCAAGGCTGTAGATCTTTATAGAAACAGACTGCCTCAACTTTCTCCCACAGAGCAGCTGGTGGGTTCAAACTGCCAATTATTCAGTTAGTAGTCTAGTGCTTTAACCACTGTGCCACCAGTGCTCCTCTAAGATAGAGTTTTCTAAAATTCAACTACCTTAAAGAAAATGAAAACTTAGAGCTTTTTTTTTTAAAAAAAAAAAAAAAAAAGTCTAACCATGTATCTGGGAGCTCTGGTAGCATACGTAGTGCCTAAGGAACTTCACTGCTAACCAGAAGGCTGGCGGTTCAAACCCACCAGCCACTCCTCAGAAGGAAGGTTGGGCAATCTACTTCCGTGGTGATACCATCTTGGAAATCAAAGGAAGGGTTGCTATAAATTGAGTCCGACTCAAAGGCACAAAACAACAACAACAACAACAACCATGTATCTAAAACACTTTGTTATTTAACCCACTCTCTGTTTTGGGTTCAAGATGATGATTGCTGTGTGCCACCAAGAAGAGGAAAGACCCTGTGAATAGTCTTCCTTTAGGCCTAGAATAGAGGATAATAAACTAATAGAAAAAACAGCTCGATAGCCAAACGGAGAAGGAAAATTGGGAGGAAGTTTATTCTTCACCATGAAGCCACCTAGAAGCAGAATTCTTAGGCTTAAAAATTACAGAGCTGATGTGGTTTGACTGCCCACTGCATGATTCCAAGAATAAATAGGTGAAATAGTACAAACACAAAGTAATACTGTTTCCCTGCAAGGAAGTTTTAACCTACTTGGACTTCAAAGTCCATCCAACTAGAAAACAGGAGGTAAAGGGGAAAAAGCCTAGATAATTTCCAAAGTCCTCTCAAAATCAACATTCTAAGACTTCCTAAAACTTGATGACTATTAAACTGTTCTTTTCTGACTCAAATTGAGACCTATTGGTGATTCAGGAAATTTTTAAGCCAAAGAAAGCAGTTTTTAGTGAAGTAAATAGGAGTATAATAGAAACTATAGAGTGCATCACACACAGAATGGGTCAACCTTTAGTTTCAGTTATACATTGTACATATACTCACACATACACAGACCAGGGCCCAATGTGAAATGTGTTTCTTTCTATAAGTGATAGTCAAGAGTTAGAAAGCCACTGCTCTTGAGGATGCCCAAAGGCCTCTTGCATAGCATTGAAAACACTTCTACATACAGATGGAGAAAAAAATAGTGCAGTCGAATGAATAAACAATAAATGATGGTGCAGTGGGTAGGGTAAATGGCTGTTAACCAGAAGGGCAGCAATTAAAACCCACTAGCTGCTCCGTGGGAGGAAAATGAGTCAATCTATTTCCATAAAGATTTACAGCTATGGATACCCAATGGGTGATGCTATGAGTCAAAATCGACTCAGTGGCAGTGGGTTGGTTTTGGTTTGACACGACAGCCTTGTTTAGAGTCTCAATGATCTACACAGTATTTATGTAGGAACCGTGGCTGGTCATGGGTAATAGCACTTTGATAGTGGCCACTGTCCAATCACCAGGAAGAACACAGATGTGGTGAGATGACAAAACTCAAGGCTTTGCTTTGTGATGAAAGAAAAAGAATGGAATACTAACAGTGGAGACAAACTGAATTAATGGCAACCCTGCTTTATTTAAAATTATTATGTATTGACCACAAGATTGCATCATTTGGAACAGCAGCCTGTTTTGCCTTCAAACAATCTTTATTTCTATTATACTTTTTGATTTAACACAGTTGAACCTGAAAACAAAAGAAAGCATCTGTCTATGAAAGGGTGGTGCTTCCCAGAGCAGGGACAAACAGGATGAGAGCCCAAAGCTGGCATAGTGAGAGCGACAACAAAACCGGTTGGACCATTGCCCAAGGAAGTTCAAACACCCTCACAAGCACACCCCTTCACCTCTCAGACAAACAATGAGTAAGTTATGGCAATAGTAGGAGCACTGAGTGCTTCTCAGAAATGAACTCAGGGTGATCACACTGAATGGTATGTGCCTTTTACCATCTCCCTCACGAATATGCACTAAAGGTTTTCTTTTATTTGGTTTTCAGTACATTGTTTTTCTCAAGAGCGCCATCCTGAAGTTTGCTGTGGCCTTTTGAGCTGTGTGTGCTATCAAGCCAGCAGTTAATCTAATGTAAAATGGGTTGTGTCTTTTTCCTAAAGACTTTTTCTAAATGAGTTAAATTTCTATTTGCTAGTATTTTGCCACATCAAAGTCCTCTCAGAAGGGCTTAATACACATGAAACACCAATGTAAAGTAGTAGTAGAAGTAAGAAGGTATAATGGTCTATTATAAACAAGCCTTAAAATCACTTTAGCAAATACTTCCATGTATTTCTTCTTCCCCTGCTCTTTCTTATTCAGCAGTTCTGACTAGTTAAAAGTTTCTCTGCTTCTTTCTTGTTATGTTTGTGTAAATTCTGGGGGCAGGTGTGAGGAGAGAATAGGAGGAAAATGAAGTGGCTGTGGAAAGTTCCTCTCTCAACATTCTTGTACAATTGAAACCTGCTTATAATAAATGCCAAGGCTCATGGCAAG